AAACCACTGAAGACAGTGGGATTGTATAGACAGATTTTAAAAAATGGCTAGCAAATTTTACACATTTTGTAGCAGTGACTGAGAAGAAAATCACTTAATGGGATTGTTCCAAGTTGCGCCAGCTTTCTGGGACCAGATTTTAGAAATGACTCCTGATCACTATATTTTTCTTGTAAATTGAGCAAATGAAGTTAAATCTTTAATAGACAATAGCAGAGGAAGATTATAATCCAAAATTCTGTTATTTAAATTACCTCTGTAAGTGGATTGTTCCTTAAAATATTTCTGTTTTCAACTCACTCACTGGGAAGGATGTAGATATTGGAAGATACAGAATATTTTTTTCACCAAGCAATGTAATTTTCCTGTGTTCAATGTCCAGAACTTTGTGGAAACATTTTAACAAACAGTTACATAAAGTTGGGCTCCCAAATCCACTCCTGAGCATTTAAATGGATTACACTGTTTATGCTGGTTTTCGGAAGTGCTCAGCAGCTCACACTAAAGTTAAGAGATATTTATTCCTGTACTTTCATTTCAGATTCACCTCTAAATAAGATAGCTTTATAGTCTAGATCTGCTTTTTTTAATTTGTTAGACAAAACTCCTGATGAAGTTGTAGGGAGCTGATTGGCTTGTGATTATTTTAGCTCAGACAAGTAGGTATGGATTGGATTATTTATTTTTCACATGGTGAAAATGGATAGGAAATTTTTCGTGGTTATGTCATGATGTTAAATCATGACATCAGAGTCTTTCACTGAGCTGGGGAGTCATCTCTTCTGAAGGGATAATGTATTACTACCATATAACATTGGCCATTTTTAGCAGAGATATAAGCCATATGCTCCAGCAGGTATAACTAGTTTAGTGCAAGAACTGTGCCCTGAAAATTGAGATTAAACAAAAGCAGCAGTGAAATATTTTGCAGATGACACTCTGCCAGACTTTAAAACTATATGTATCTACATAAACCCCAAAGGAAATATTTATATTTAATTTCCCATTTATTTCTTCATTGTCGTTAACCTGTCAAACAAAGTATATTCTACAAATAATATGAGATAGAGATCGGCATCTGAGTGAGACAGAGTTCTGTTACTGGTTCAGTAGGGTCTGAATCTGTCAGCTGAAAATAATATTTAAGCTGGCACTCACAGATAGAGATGGCATTAGAAGATAAAGCAATCGAGGAAAGCTAGTTATACATGAATTTTCTATACTTTCTGACTCTCTTTTCATCTTCCAACTGGAGATGGAAACCTAAAAAGGACCTCAAAAGAATTATTTTAAACTCTGAGATGTATTACGTTTTGTTTTATCTGCTATTATCATATCTTAGCACAGTTAACTTGAAAGAAGGTGCAAAAGAGAAATCTACAGCAAGTGAAATGAGAGCAAAGGTAGGAAACCCAAAGTAACCGCTGTCTCAGGATCTCAGCTGGCAACAGCTATGTGGTCTGCAAAAGGATGCTATGCCATCCAATAGTTCCTTCTTCTTAAGGCCAAAATCTAGATTGAAGGTGATCAAAACCTTTAAGGCAACCAAAAGAAATGGTGATAAAATCAAGAAGGACTGTTAAAGACACTGCAGGAGCCATTAATTTTCTTTGACATAGATAGGGTTAGCTGGCCTCAAGAGAACTTGCGAAACATAAATAGCATCCATGGGTAGGCCTTGTGCTGCTTTTGTTTTTTTCCAGTACATGTTTTGTATCTTTGAGACCTATGTAAGTTGTGATTTCTCTTTAAACTGTTCACCATTACTGGTGTACTGAAATGTGTTATCACAGGCTCCCAAAAGAAAATGCATATGTGTTGGACCTCTGTTGTAGCATGTCTGGAAGTTGAGGGGCCGTGGCCCAGAGACTCACTCTGTGCCGTGCTGCTCCAAGGGCCAGCAAGACCCATCACCAAAAAGATGTTTCCCTCTCTCCTCCTCCACTATAGGGAACTGAAATGATGCTCTTGACAGTTCAGACTAAGTAGTGTGAACCCTACCCCCACCATTAGCTTTCCTCCAAGTCTTTGGCCTTGATAAAATAGTTTCATCATCAGGGTTATCTAAAGAGTCTTCTTTCTACTGTTACAATTTCTATCTGGAGTATCTCACTATTTCTTCCTTGTCTGAACAACTATTTTTTGTCTGTCTTTCTTGATTTATGTAACACTTTCCTTTGAATTAATTCCATAGTTGTTGAATCCTCACAATTAATAGGTGAATCATATTCACAAGAAAAAACCCACTCTGTAATACAGAAACTTCTTCCCATATAGGACTGAATCAGGCAAGCCAAAAACCAAGCATAGTACGTGAAAAATCACAAATAGCACCTGTTCCACGGGTACTGTGTGCTTGCACTGGGGACGTGTGGGAGGACCATGGGTAGGAGGATAGGTGATGTTTGCAAGTTATTGTCTGGTGACTGTCCTTGTGTAAACCTGAAATCAGATGGATGGTGTCGGTGCACGGTGCTGTTGCAGGGTAGGCTAGTTTGCTTAAAACTGTACTGGTGGGAACGGTGTATTCTGTCTGTGTAAACAAAGCTAAAGGCTATCACTGTACAAACCACGCAACACTGAGAAAAATGCAACACTAAACAAAAGCAAAGCAGAAATAGAGCATGGAGAATGATGTTCTGGCTTTTTTAGAGAAGGTTTTGAATATTCGACTCTCCTACAATACAACTGTCACAGAACTGTAATAAACAGCACTAGTATGTATCAATGTTAAGAAGTTGGAAAAGTTGCATTGGAAAATAGCATGATATAACTTAATAATTGTTATTGTGAGTCCTCAAATGTGATACTGTGATCAACAGTAGTACTGGTACCAAAGAGTACTGGTTCTGCAGCTTTCCTGTGCCATTGTGAATGACAATTTCTTAGCCTAACAAACTGCATGTGAGTTTGTGAACCTATGTGTTTCAGTTTGGTATTGGATGGGAATTACTAAGGCTACTCCTGGATGCTCAGGCTTGCAAAAGAATGGCCTTCCAGCACTGTTTTCTCTCCCATTTTCCTCCAGCATTCTTGCTGGGTTGTAGCATTGAAATGTTCTGATTATGTCCCCTGTTACCGTTGCTGCATTGGCTTGTAGCAGCATACATTGTTTTTGAAGCTGGTGAAATGCTTTTTCAGGGGAGGGAGGGTAAGCAGTGAGTAGGAGGTTGAGCTTTTACAAATGAGACTCTGTTGGTAAAAAAATGACACCAATGTACGCAGCAGACTTTGCCTGCACCATTGCATATACTTGCTATTACAGTAAAAGCCCACTTGCTGACACCAATCATTTCCATAAAATTTAAGCCAACATCTTTGGGAGAAAAGATTTAATTAACACATAAGCCCCTGAGTCACTATGACAATCTGCTTTTATAGTGATGGGAATAATCACATTTCTACCCACTGTCAGTCCTTGAAATATAGGGGGTTTATGAATAATCTATAGTACATTTTTTTCCTTACAGAAACAATCAGATTCTTTTGTTACTTTCACACAAGAACATTTCTGTCTTAGACATCTAGAAAAACTCTAAATTTATCTGATGCCTTGAGGGGCTACCTCTGCTTGTGTGACAGGAGGTCTCTTGAGCATTTTGGGTTAGTAACATGAAGGGAGGTTGAGCAATTCCATCCTAACCAAGATCCACATGAGACATCCCATTATTTAAATAGAGGTGCCCTTAGGGCAGTGTATGCAGAACCTAGTGCAATAAATAAATAAATAACAGTGCTCATTGCAGACAATAAATAAAATTATGGCGATGATTACCATGATATAAAATTAGATTCAAGAACTTTCACTGTGAAGCAGAAATAATAACCTAGGTACGGAGATTTGAAAAAATCTTTTTTCCCCTTTAGTCCAGTTGAAAAGATCATGTCTAATACATGACACCTCCTTCTCCTACTTGTTAGAAGTTCTTGAAGGAAAAAATACAGAATCTTTTTTCCCCCAGGTTAGTCTCATCAAAGTTATTTCTGATTTACTGTAGCATAAGTTACATAAGTATCAAGCTTGTAAGGTTTAATTTTATGATCTTTAATTTTATGATCTATGTTGAGAATAATTCTGTAATCACAATTTAGACAGAGAATGTTTCATCTGTTGTTCTGGCTGGACATTGTTATATCATTTCCTTATCTTTCTACTTTCATAATACTTTTGTATTTGGTTCCACAGTATTGAACAACAGCTAAACAAGGTAGGATCCGTATACTAGAGACAGAATGTTCTTAATGCGTCTTTAGAGTTGTAACAAATCTAATAACCTGAATTTTTTTCAAATATAAATTTTGCATCTAGATAAGTGCCTTTTTAAATGATAGCAGTCCTCTTGTGTTAGGCTTGATTGCAACCTGTTTTCTGAATTAAAAAATGTAAATGTGGCATTGACAAAGGTTAAAAAGATTTAAAGTGGATTCTGTCAGCAGTGCATGCACACACCAAACTAAATCCTATGTATCTAATCAGGGTCCGCTGGACTGTGTGCCTTGCTCCATTGTTTACTTTCAAATCCATAATAATTTTGTATCCTTTCACTGGGCGAAGATTCATTTTAAAAACTAATGAATTTAAAAATATGCTTCTCCCTTGTCTGTTTGATACTGAGCCTGCAATTTGACTTTCATTGTTTGTTTCCCTCCTTGTTTCGTCAATCCTTTTCTCTCTTTCTGTCCTTTTACTTTATTACATTTTTTATTGAGGACTGAGATGAACTGGTTGCTGCATCATGGGCCCATTACACTTCCTAACAATTCCATTTACACCTTATTGTTTGTCTTATTGCTGGAAAATTCAGGTGATTCATCATGCCTGAAGAAGCACCTGATCCCAATTCCCTTGATATCACGATCACTATGTGACAGGAATACAGTTAGTGGTGGCTTTCAGACTCTAAGAGGCCAAGGTGATAACTCTTTTGGGACTTTTAGCCTCTCAAGTATTGATGAGTTCCATTTTCGTAATGCTCTGTTTTCTTGCTCCCTTTCAACAGCCCCCTGAGTGTGGAAAAGGGCTTGGAGTTAATAAAGGAAGTGGCAGATCTCCTAAAGCTGCAGATGAGTGCCTTCGATGATGTCAAGTACGTACATGGAATTTGCCCCTTTTTATTTTATTGGATTTCTCATTATTTTTTAATAGTTTGTCTTACAAGGAAATATCTACTCTTTAATGCCAAAGTTAATGAGTGTGTAAGAGACAAAAAAGAATATTGTAATGATCTTTATAATGTCCCCTACACAGAGGAACAAATTATTTTGAAAAAATTGTAAAGACAGATTTTATCTATGCTTCCATAGGGAAAAAATCATCTGCTCAAAGTGCTGTAAAAATATTGCCAACCTTACTTAACAGTTTCTAGGTAAGGAAAGTCTTGTGAAGGGTCATTATACCCAGCGTTGCTGAGGGGGAGAACAACGTCAGAGATGGGTAAGAACTTGGGTCCCTGGCTTTGAGTCTGGTATGTGGCGCACTAGGTCGTGCTGCTTGATCAGATACTCATTTAACAAGTCACAGGGAGTTCAGCTATGTCGAGCTGCTATTTTTCTTCATATGATTCATACTGATGAATGCTCTGCATGTTAATCTCCTGAACTAGGAGGCTGATTTGCCATGTCCTGTAAAAATTTTTAGATTGGGAATTTTCTGAAATCATTTCAGTAGGAACATTTACTTCACAAAACTTAATTCTTTCTCTGTAAAAGAGAATGTAAAAATAGTTTGATAGAAAAGTAATGGAAAAGAAGGGTCAACCGTGGGAGGGTTTTGACAGCTTGCTGGAAAGAAGTCACATCTTGGTGCACAGAAAATAACTAGTGTCTGGGTAGCATCCAGTTCCTGCCTATGTTTCAGAGGGTTTGGGGCTGCTTGTTTTGGCCCATGAGTTGATTTGCTGAAGTGCAGCATCTTTCTCAGCCTTACTTGTCCTGCCATCAGCTTTTGTTTAACCTTCAGTTCCAGTGAATGTACTTCATCGTTTAATACTGTATTTTAAGCCGTAGTCTAAAGATGTTTCATCTTTAGTGGAAGTGTTTATTATTATTTGAGAAAAAAAAAAATCTAGCCCTTCTATTACTGTATATATGAGGAGAAATAGACTACTGGTGAGAAAATCTTTTTAGAAACCTGACAAATACCAGGCATATTGGCTTTAGTTGTTTAGAAGGAAAACATTCCCATATTCGATTTCCTAGAATAATTCTGTGTATTGCTGAATGTGTTTTTGCTTGTATTTTATGAAACGCATTTTTTATGAAAACTGAATTTTGAAATTACAAAAATTGATATTATGTGGTCTTCCTTGTAAAGAGAATTTGCATCCTTGACTTTGAATACTAGCAGATAAAGTCTGCTGCACATTTAAAGGGGTAATCCCATGGAACAATTTCTCTGCTGGAATCAATGGGTTCTGCTTCATTAACTTCATTAATTTACAGTACAAGAACACTTTCACCTACCTTTCTAATTGTTAGTGTAAAGCCTTTTGGTTATTTTTATTATTTGATAAATCACAACAGCATTGCAATTGGCAGGCTGTAGATTCATTCTCTAATGAAAAATATCCCTCCAGTGATATAGCTAGCTATGAACAACCTTTTATTTTTTTTAAATGTGTGACATTAGGGAAGTTGGCTGTTTTATGTCTATTGATATGCAGTCGTATGACTCTACCGAAAGTACTTGTATGGTCAGTACTTTAAAACTGTGTTGTGAATTATTTTTACTCCAAACAGACTGAGCATTCTGTCTATCGACACATTTTTGTCAGTTTTTGCCTTTTAAAAAGATCTATAAACCTATGAAAGGTTACCCCGAATCTCAAGGTAGTGAAGAATTCATCCATAATAAATTTTCTTTATTCCGGAAAATGAGATGCTTTGACTCAGGTTAAACCCATGAAATGCTAAAGTAATGTGGAGCTGGCCAGTAGATATACCAGTAGTAGAAGCTTTAGAAAAAGGTCTCACCAAGCAAAGCATTAACGCTTTTTGGATTTGTTCTTTTGTCATGACTGCACAGCTATCAATGGAAAACTGTATGAGTTTGAAGGCTCTGATTAGCTTCTAAGTGGCCTCGTGGAGAGGGATTTCAGGAAAAGCTTGATGTCATGGTTATTCCTAATGCACTGTTGACATATCAAAGTGAGAGAATGAGGCCTCTCAGGAAATATGCTTTTTACTTGGCCCAAGGCATCGTGGGTTATTTAGATTATTTTATTTCACTGGCAATTAAAAGTACTCTTTTTCTTAAGGCATGAATTTTTTGTGCTGTTGCAAAGATTTCAGAGTAAAGACATGTTAAAGAGAATCACAGGGTTAATTTGAGAGTGTAGACAAAGCAATTGCATTAAATATGAATAGTGTAGGAAGAACTGAGTAGCAAAGGTGAGTGGTGGGTTCTTCTAAAGTTCTTTGAATTCTAAATTAAGAGTTTCTTGTCCTTTTCTCTGAAAAAAATAATTTTAAAGGGACTGCTTCACAAATACATTACTACCTTTAGTTTGTTTTGTCTGCAAATAACTTTCACTCTTCCCTGCATTTTTGTTTTTTTTCTGTGCTTTGGAGTTCCGTAAATGAACAATTGCTTTTGCATGAGTTCCTACCGATACCTGTGTTAGTTCTTGATTAGTTGGTGCATGGTAGTAATCAGCTTATTTTATCTTCTATCTTTCACAATCCTGCCAACTTTAACCGATAGCCTGCAATTCACAGTATAGCCTCAGGCTTGGCTCCCAGAGCATTCAGTCCACTTCTACAGTTGGTTTGTTGTCAAGTTTGCATTGACATAAACTTTGCTCACCCTGTGAAGCAGATGAGTGGGAATAGATTTGGGGAATTCATAATTAGAAATATTTCAACGTTGAAGAAAAGATCCAACATGTTAGCTGTCATTTTCGGATACAGCCTGAATCTTTATGGAAGTAATAGTTACGCTTAATATGTTTTGTTAATGGTTATGTAGCTGTCAAATAAATTCCATTATTTCTTATTACATCATTAGAGACCATTAAAAGGATATTAGCATGCTGATGTAATTATGCAAGCAGACGTAAAATGACTATAGTTATGATTTTATAATCTAATTAGGGGTGTCCAATGCCCCTGGTGATTGATTGTCGGACTGGTATCATGGATTGAAGTCAGATGGGCAGAAATGTTAGGTGGGTTTGTATTCATTTAAAAAAAAAATATCTTACCACTCTGCAATCTGCAACCTTGGCCTTCTTCATGTAAGTACAGTTCTTCACACTTTATCGAGTAAACTTACAAACACAAGAAGTTATCAAGATACATCCAAATGTAATAAAAATACACAAAATCTGTAAGTTAAGCTGTGAGAGTAGTGGAAAAGACACTCAGAATCCATAGTCAAAGCCATTGATTAGAACATAGATGACTTATTTGGTTTCTGATGAGAATACAAATTATTTCTGAATTTTTATTTAGTGTTCTCATACTTGGGGTATTTACTGAGAACATTGCTGAAGGGACTTTTCAATTCTAAGCTTAGCTGAATACCTTTGTATGGAAAGAAAACAGATTATTCTGATTTCATAGTATTTCAGACTGCATATCCTACCTTTCTCAGCCTCCAGTTAAGAGTGAGATTTTCAGCTGAATATTACATTCTATGATGGATGCTGCAGTAGCACTGATTTTTTTTCTTTTCCTTCTTATTTCTCTCTTTAGCCTTATATGATTTTTCCCTATTGCCACTGAAGATCTCTCACTCTAGGTGTCTCTTTTTTTCCCATTTTGTTCTACTGCTTTGGCTTCCTGTACCCATTCATCTTAATGATTATCTTTCTCATTTTTGCCTTCTAATATACCTAAGCTCGGTACTCAAAGAACTGTCCTTTCAGGAGACATGGTAACTTGACCAACAAGCGTGCCCATTTCCATATCTAATTTTTCAGTGGAAAACCTATAGCAGAGTACTCCACATTCATTCCATAAAATGATGTTAATCTCTATCTGCTGCTGTTGTTTTGAACTGTAACGATAATTGCCCATATAAGCATATAATCTATATATATAATGTTGAGGATGAACAGGATACTTATGCTAAATTTCAAATGCTAGTATAAATAGATTTTTCAAGTTATAAAAACTGATTCTGATTATCTAATATAATGCTCTGGATTGCAAAGCCATCAAATTTAACCAATATTCCCCTATCATGTAGCGTTGGTTGCATCTATATTGTACATCCAAAGCTAAATTAAAAGACCAAATCACTGATCTGTCTACAGCTCAGACTCACAGGCCTCAGGTTGGTTGTTCGACTTTCACCTGAGCGCTCTTGCTACCTACACTGAGACTAGAAGCTAATTCAGTGTTTTACTTGAATAGCTTGTTATATGAAAAATGAAAATTCAGGTTAATTGAAGGTATGTATGGAAAGTGTATGGAGGCTTCAGCTGAAAAATACCTTTCAAAATTTGTAGCAGCCACAGCAGTGTGGTTTGGCACATATTATATTTTTTTAATTCAAAGTAATAACTAGTTTCAAAAACTTAGTTAAAGTTTGGCTTGTAAGGAAAATGCTTTCATTTTGGTGATAAGAATAAACAAAAAATTGATTTTGGACTGAACTCAAGCCATTCTTTTCTTTTTTGTTGTTTGTTCAGCTGACCAAAAACATCAATCTTTTGATAAAGACTGATTATGATATAATCTTGAAGTATTTGATCATATCTATATATTTGTCTACACCCCTCTGTCTTATTCCATTTGCAGGAAATAAAATGCTCAGTTAATGAGCAGTTCTTCAATGTTTCATTTTATTCTCATTTTTCAGTGTGTGGCTTCAGGTTTCATTTATTGCACATTATTCAATTCCTGCTTTGAGGTCAGAAAACCCATTTCCTCTTGCTTTGTTTTGTTGTTTGTTTGTTTGTTTGTTTTCCTATGGTGCTCTTCACTACACTGTCAAAATGCTTGACAAACATGAATTTATATACTTAACTTGCATGAGATATGGGGTATTATTAGGACCATACAGAGCTGGAGTTATGCATGAAGAGATTAATGTCAAAGCATTTGCTAACATGAGGTGTCCTGTCTGATGTCTGAGAGTATA